TGGTCCACCTGTGTATTCTAACAGTATATATCAGTTGGAGTCTATCAGCTTCCTATCAGCTTCCCCTTTGTGGGAAGCTCGCTGTGAGCATCAGAAATCTCCCCCTCCTTTTCCAGCAAGCAGCTAAGTGGTTGCTGCTGGTGGGGGAGGAAGGGGGGGAGTGTGAGAGGAGTGGGTATGATATGAGTGCCGAGGGACTAGTGGAAGTTGCATCATTTCTCCATTGACTTTCTTTGCAGGCTTCCCATAAGGAAGGGGGAAGCAAAGGGTATTGCCAGTCATACTGGTTCCTTCTGGGTTCCTCATCAACTTGTGGGAAATGGTCAGAAAATACTGAAAACGAGGATCATGTGATTGCCGGTTACTGGATCAGTGCAATGATATTGAACAGCCAGCAGCATAGTGGAGCTGAAGTAGGAAAAACATCCCCAAATGTCATCACCTCAGGAGTAATGGAGTCTGGCAATTATAAGTTACCTCATTTGAAGTCTCTTGTTGACAAACTGTTTGTCGTATAATGCAGTTTTTCACCCCAACTGAAGGCTACAAACAGACACGAAAGATTTAGTAATATATAGATGTGCTGCAGGTACCAGACAAATTATCTAAGATGTACATAAGTATTTCTAAATGTGAAAGACATGAAGGGACATTTTACCATGCATGGTAGAAGTTGGCTGGGGGAGCAAAAAAAAAACTCTCAGACAAAACACAACCTGGATGTAAATGCACATGGTGCTGCAAATAATTTGAAAAATTAATAGTCTGATGAAATCTGAACTTTTAAATTGATAGCCAATTTAAAAAAAGACTTATGGAATATTAGTTTTGCATATGGTAACTGAGGAGGCTATTATATTCACAAAGGTGGAAAAACATTGAAATATCACAATAGAGGAGTAGATTGTAGCGGAATTTGCATAGAGGGTAAAATTGACCAGTTGATCAGGAATGAAACAATACGTACTTTCATAAAGTACTGAAAAGCTCCTATGGCCTTTTGCTGAAAAAATGATTTGGTATTTTATGGCTTTGCTGATTAAAAGGGGTTGAATATGGAAAAAAGGGAAATGTAATTTTAAGAGAGAGGAGGGATATTAAGTTTGTAATTGCTGGAAAGAAGATTGGAAGTTACTTCTTTATCTTTTTCTATTTACATTGTGCATGGCCAGCAAAAGCATTTTCAAGCTTTATAAGATTCTTCATGCACCAACTTTATTTTTCTTTCAGTAAATCTCAGGTCATAATAAAACCTATAGAACAAAATTGTCCAGAGATAATGAAAGTAATTCATGGTCCAAGTTTCCACTAGTAGCATTACAACCCCTAAGTACATAATGTTTTTATTTTCCACAGGGATACTCTAATGCATTTTACAGGAAAGCTAATGCAAGGAGTTCATAATTACGAGGCGCTGCAGACAAAAAGCATTCATTTTTGTTTTAAAATGACAATCAGAGGATAATTGAGTTCTGGGTCTAGTGCTGCTCTCAATGTGCATAATATTGTTAGGCTATACTTTAAAATGAAATGCAGTAAAAACTTTTAATTTTGTGAGTACCGATTTGAACTTATTCCTTTTCATTTTATGTTACATGCACAATAAATGCTGAAAGCAATAAAGAAATTGAGTTGTCTACATAACATGGGAGAACAATACGAAAAACTTGCTCACCACAAAAGTATGAGAGAAGTTGCTGCAGCAAAGTTCATGATGGGATTTTGTAACCGCCCACTGGTTTTATGAATCTTGCTTTAAAATTCATTTATGTTAATTCTTAGTGTACTTTCAAATTACCACAGATTTAAAAAAAAATGCTGGCCAGTTTACAAGACTGAATAACCCAGGCAATGTGATTGTTAAGACTGGACTAAACAAAAGTAAATCTCCTCCTCCTCCTCTCATATTCAGCTGAAGATGGCATACACTTTTTGCCTTAGGACACAAATTAGATTTTATTTCATACTGCTATTTAATTATAAAAAAGTTAGTATTATTCTACAATAATGAGATAGCCTTAGTAAATTTAATCAAATGTAAATGTTACAATTTGATAACTTTTGAGATCTTTGGGGGCAGCATTCAAGCTGTGCATTTCTATCCAGAATCAATTCTCAACAGACTAGCAGAATCAGATTTCATGCACATTGGCATTGTGGAAATTAAGTTAAATAAAGAAATTTACATCACTGCAATTATGTGTTCTTCAATTCCTGATAGGAAAGAGAACATGATAATAATAGCTTGTAGGATATTATTTGGCAGGATTAAAGATCAAGACAAGTAAACTGAAGGAATTTGAAGAGACTTATTTGATCAGGGATAACATACATACATACGTACATACTACATACATACACATATGCATATACATTTATTTATTTATTTGTGGTTTTGATAGCTATTAGTGGATTCTTTTTGACCAGAATGACAATGAGGCATCAAAGATTATAAGGAGACATTCCTTTTGCTCTGTTTCTTCGGGAAAGTGATAAATTGGAATAAAGGTAGATTTCTTACATTAAGGTTAAATATGATTTATTTCTGGTAGCTCTTAATAGACTTTTACTGATTGGAAATGAATAATATCTTTTATACATTATTGATATGGGATATGTTATGGGAAATTAAATTAGAGAAGGTGTTAAGATACTGAAGTTGTTTTTACTTTCCTGGAAGCAGGGGGAAATCATCTTTATATATCTTTTTCTTTTTCCTTTTTTTATTCTTGCACTTTTTTTCCTTTACTTTTTATATTTTTTTAGTTTGAATTAGACTTTTATTTTTGTATTTGTGAACTCTCATAAAATTATTGCAAAAAATTAGAATGTAGATTTAAATTTAAAATAATTTACCTAACTGTAGCCAGGAAATGGAAAAAATCCTCTAGGAAAAAGGCAGCTGTAAGTCATTACTACATTGTTGCCAAGAAAACTATATGAATATTGTCATGAAGTCAATAGGAGGAAAGCTCATTTTGAAATAAACTTTCTTAAAAAAAAATACTGCACAACTTACTCATTTTCAATGTCCAGTTAAAACAAGTATAAATGCCCTGAAAGGTATAATGATCTTGGTTGTCTTGAATGCTTCTTGTTTGTTTTGATTTAGAAGTTCAAAATTTAGGAGTTTAATATGCTGGACTTGGGAAACAAAATGTTTTGAGCAATATATAATTATAGCAATATATATTTCCTCTTAGTACATAAATTGTCTTTAGACAAGATACAAATTTAAGGAATCTACTGATTATTTCAGTCAGAGAAATTACCTTTCAACAGCTCAACAGATTCAGTGAAACTGCATAGTTACTCAAATAATTAAAATTTAAAATGTGCAATATTAATCACATACTAGAAATTCTACTAAGAAGCATATTCAACTGTATTTAATGAGATGAAAAGTGCATAGGACTACACTGTATACCTGATTTTCCAATATGACCATTTGATAACTTAATATTGAGAAGATATCCACTGAAGCATTTTTACATTTAGTCCTCATTTAGCAACCACATTGTGACCAGCAACTTATTTTGTTAAGTGAAGTCATTGCTAAGTAAAACTGGGACTGTTCTTTGATCTTACATCAGTTTTCCTTTGCTTTATAGATCTGCAAAGGTTGTAAATGTGAGAATTGATCAGTTACTTTTTCATCAGTCATAATCACAAATGGTCACTAAATGAGGCAATTGCTAAGTTAGAACTACCTGTACACAAGCAGAATGAGCTTTATTATTCACATCTTATAGAATTGGTCATGTAGTTCTTTTTACTTTTTGATTATATTTTTTAGAAAATGTTATTCTTAAAGAAGTTCCTTGTCTGACTACAGGTCAGACTTACGACCGCAATTGAGTCCACTATTTATGTTGCTAAGTGAGACATTTGAGTTTTCCCCATTTTACCACTTTTCTTGTTACAGTTAAATGAACCATTGTGGTTAAGTTAGTAACACAGTTGTAAAGTGAATCTGGCTTCCCCATTGACCTGCTTGTCAGAAGGTTGCAAAAGGTGATCACATGACTCTGGGACATTGCAACTGTCATAAATATGAATCAGTTGCCAAGCATTCAAATTTTAATCACATGACCATGAGGATGCTGCAGCACTTGTATGTGTGAAAAACAATATCACTTTTTCATTGCCCTTGTAGCTTTTAACAATCAATATACAAACTGTTGTAAGTTGAGTACTACCTGTATTTTTTAATTATTGGAAATAACATTTAAACAAAACCCTTCAGAATACCACTATGGCTTTTGAAGTTCCCATTTTACTAAAGGTATTTCATTATAAATTAATGAAATAAATTTCCATTAATTTATTTTAAAAAATCAGGCAAAAGCAATTTTTAAACCAAAAGAAATTTTATTGAAAAAATCCAGATTTGTAGAAGCATAATTTCATACAAACATTTCTGAGGAAATAATTGAATATTAAAACCATTCTCAGTATTACATTTTTCAGAGCAAATCCTTATTTGTGATCAGAAAATGCTTTCAAAACAATCTGTGAGGTTACCAGTCTCCGTGTCTGATTGCATCTTCCTGAACAGTATATCTAATACTGATTTCTCCCTCTCCAATCTAGTAACATATTTTGACATGTGAAGAGCTTCAGCAAGGATCACTGTCAATGAAACCATAGTGCGTGGTTCTTCAGTGTACTGTACAGTCGATAATTCATATAAAATAAGTACATATTTGCTCCATTCCTTTCCAAACATATTAGTTATAAATAGTAGAATGGTAATAATTAAAGATCAAAATGTAGAAGTTTCATTTAAGATCAAAACATTCCAAAAAGTGCAATCATACTCTAAAATCATTTCAAAATCATTGTAATGGGCCAAATGTTGGGCCCTAAATACAATCAATCACACCTACAGTATAATATACACACACTGCAGTTTTGAACTGAGTAATTACTTGAAAATAATTTGAAAATCATTCTTAGGGTATTTGCACTTAATTCACCATCAGTAACAGGTTTTTTTTAATTAGTCTTCTGAATACCTATAAAGACATTGTTCACATTCTAAACTGGAGCCCACTCTTGTCCTCCCAAAAGGGCATAGAATACCCAGCTATACTGATTGCTGAGAAGCTGGTTTTTCTGTACATATTCTGACATTTCATTGAAACACATCAGCATGCTTCCTCTACAAAATGAGAACCTTCAGATGTCTATTAGAGAGCTGTAACAGCCACCCAAGATACGAAACAATTCATTGGATTTTTTTAATTACAGAATCAATCTTGATTTTTGTAGATTGTTTAGATAGGGTCACATCAACAGAACAGTGATATTTTTAAAGTCTACAACAAAATAAGCAAGTTTTAATTTTAAAAATATTTGCATGAATTAGATGAGTAAAAAATAAAATCTAGTGACTCAATGAAATAAAAATTGACTATTAAAATGAAGGCTGGAATTTCTTTTAAATTTAAATAATAAAAGCCAATTTCAGCTACAAATATTTTAAAATGTCCTGCCTAGAACAGCTGAAGTATAAATATAAAATTTTTATTACCATAAATAACAAATATCATGAAAGCTAGTTTTTATCCAGTCAATCTTCCTTTTGTCTTTAAACCACTGATCTAGTGTTATGCCGATATTTTCATACATATTTCTTCAGAAATCAGTACCATACTTGGAACAGTATAAGAATGCCATAATAGTCTTGCAGATAAAAAGTAATCTCTTTTACTTCTGCATTGGATTCTTGCTGTGGTAAACATGGCAAAAAGGACTTTTCATTTGTGGACTGAATTTGTTTGGCAATGCATTTCTACAGTTATGATGGATATACTACTTATCCCAATTTTCCTCTTCAAAAAAATTTCACTTGGTAAATCAATGTAATCATAACTATCATACTTTTAAGCTATACAAAGAACTTAACTGAAAAAAATTTCAGTGGAGTTGCACAATACTGACTTAACAAAGTAACAGGAAGCATGGCTTTGAGGAGCAACTGTGCAAGCTGTTTTTATCAATTACGTTCTGCATGGTTCTTAAATAACTTAATGCGGCGTCTATGGTCTAATAAGTTCTTTGATGTCAATATTTACATTGTAAACTTGATAACAATATTTTGGCTCAATACATATTAGTCCTTGATTTTATTACTAGGAAATGTATTTATTTCTTCTCCCCAAAATACTCATTTAAAAGGGAAAACATGGACAATTTCAGCAAAAATACTTTAGGTAGCTTGTTGTTATAATCTGTCTGCTGAGACTGCACATAATTAAACTGAGATAAATTAGAACTCCATTAAAAAGAAAGGAGGAATCCTAATTTTTTCCAGATAAAATTTTCTAAGTGCACACATAATGAAAAAAATGAAATGAAAAAAAATGACCAGATTTACTGTCTTATTTAAGAATTTTTAGACTGACATTTTTCTAATACATTACATAATACATACAAATCATTAATGACACTATTTATACAAAAACAGATTTGCTTAAGATAAGTTCCTATGCATACACATCAGTAAAGAAATCTGCAAGATTTACACGGTGATAAAAAATCATGTAACACTAGAGCTCATAAAATTGGCTTTTTAACATTTAGTTTTAATATAAAATGTATTTTTGAGAACAGTTGTTACATGAATATAAAAGCACCATTCATACTATGAAAAATATGTTTGTACCTCCAAGCCTCTTAAAATGTGAATAGGATTTACTAAATGAAGGATTTGACTACACAGCCCCATACTGAGAATCTTTTACTCACCTATTCATGACAGATAAGAATGCCTTTTCTTTTTAAATTACAAAGATTGGAAGAAAGAAAAACCCATGCAAATATTTAATGGCTACACAATATTCAGCTCAATGATTTGTACTCTTGTTCAGCTAAATATGTAAATCCATCAAGATATGAAATAGTCTATCCAGTGTATTTTATTGCTGAACATATATAATAACAAGGCACAGGACAGCCACTAATCCAAGAGCTTGTAGTCCAAGAAACCAGAGCATAATCCAGAAGAACAGGATTATTACAGGTTCTACAATCCTTTCTCCAAAATACATCCTTGTGAATCCTATTCTTAGCAGGCTTTTGTTGAGTTCACCAAAGAGAGTCCCCATCTTTTTATAGTCATCAGTAATTGATTCAGTATTATTTTCCCTTTCTTCTTGTAGGACCTAGAATAAAAAGAGAATAAAGATTATTCATCTATATCAACAAAACCATGTGATATTAATCCTGCTTTTAAAAATGCAACCTTGTATGTAAAATAGATTTTATTGTTTTTCTAAAGGTAATAATCCGAAATATTTTTTGTCATAATTAGTTTAGTTTACTTTGTCACTGCACCTTGTACAACGAAATCAAACACCATCTTCAGTGTACATCATGACCATGACCATGACCATAAACACAAACACACATCCTTCACCCTCCACACATTGAACTGAAAATCCCCAACACCGCACCAACACCACACTAACATACAGCAGAATTCAAAAGAGCTACTGCCCTGGGATAGAAGCTGTTTTTTCAACCTATTTGTCCTTGTTTTTATTTTTCTATTCCGTCTGCCAGATGGTAATAGTTCAACAAAATTAATTAATTAATTAACTAGTTCTGTTTTATATTATTAAACAATTATCTTTCTTTCAATAGTATTGTTATGTTTGTCATATAACCATTATTAGCTGGAGCTGACAGCCCAGGTTCAAGACCTGGCACCAAGCAGTCAGGTGAGCTCCTGTTTCTTGCCTCAGCTCTTGCTTACCTAGCAGTTCGAAAGCATGCAAATGCGAGTAAATTAATAGTACCCCTTTGGTAGGAAGGTAACAGCATTCTATGCGCCACATGACTATGGAAAATGTCTTTGGACAATGCTGCCTTTCTCGGCCAAGAAACAGAGATCGGCACTGTGCCCTAGAGTCAGACACAACTGGACAGGGAACCTTATATATGAAATATCTTTATTCCCCAATCTGTTTTAGTCATTACCAGATTCTACATAAGCTACTAGCTTGTATGGATATATGAGATTTAATTCCTTTTTCAGTATTTTAGCCTTTTACTGTAAGGAAGTATGGCTTTCCGCCTTCTATCAAAAATGCTCAACTATTACATGGATCATAGAACAGAAAAAATACTTTGTCTCTCATTTTCCTTTTTAGTCTGTTAATAGGACTATATGACTGACTAATAGATGCAAATTTAATTGTTTCTTTATGCAGCTAAATCCTGTATAATACTATACATTTCAATGGTAAGATCTTTTTTAAAAAAACATGAGTAATGTAATCACTAAATGATTTTGGCTAATGTTTCTATTAAAGAGAAACAACCAAAAGCTCGTCTTCAATATTTTAGTCAATATGCCAATACTATTGCAAAGCGAGGGTGGGCTTCCACCTTTAATTATAGTGTGCTATTAACAAAATTTATTTTCCTTCACAGAAGTATTTTTTATATTTAACAATAAATACATGTTTTATTAAATAATAGAGTATAATAACTAAATGAATAAATGTATCACTGAAACATTTTAGATCGACTTGATTTAGTGCTACATTTCTTACTATGATATACTGCCACTGTCACATAAAGTACAATCCACCCTGAAATACATTTTAATTTGCTTCCTCCTCTTTGTTTCCAACAGATCCTGAAAAAGAATTCAAATAATCAAAAACAATTTACTTCTGCCCCCCGCTTCTGTATAGGATTTTTTTGTTTCACAAAACTCAGTAACTTGTTTTTATGGGCTCTACTATTTCCTGCTAATTAAATGTTACAAGAATAAGTGCTGTATCTTCATAAAATGTGTGTGCAAAGCAAACCTTTCTATCTGGATTTAGTCTTTATTTGGTTTATTTTACAGCATAATTTGAGTGATTCCAATATTTCATAATTCATTCTGTGTTATGTATTTGTATCCTGCATTAATTATTTGTATCCTTTTTTTATTATTTACAAATAACTCAAGGCAGGAATACATCCAACCTATTTTTCTCACAGCAGCAATCAGGTGAGATGAGCTGGGCAGAGAATGATTGGGTGGTTCAAAGCCTTCATGGCTAAGATGGGACTAGAACTCAGTCTCCTGCTTTCTAATTTAGTCTAATCACTAGACCAGTAGTCCCCAATCTTTTGGGTACCAGGGACTGATTCCACAGAGAGAGGATTTTTCCATGGACCAGAGCGGACATTGTTTCATGGGCTGCCTTCATTTTGCAGATGGGGCTTCGCTTGATGGCATGGCCCAGATTCTGGCACCGGTCCATGGACTGGGGGTTAGGGACCCCTGCACTACACTAAAATTCTATTCTAAAATCAGTTTAACAGAGAGTGTAAAGTCAAAACCCTTTCAAGAAAATTGTTCCCTCATGTTCTAATTTGCTTGCAAATTTCATATTCCAATAAAAAGGCATTACAGCCATTTGTTTTTTTCCATACTAAGCAATGAGACAAAAAAGTCCTGTTCTTTAATTGAATTGTATTGTTTGTGATATTAATTTTAATTCATAGTTTCTCTTATGCTTGATTTTGAAGACAATTGTAAAGTATTTCTTTACTTATTTAGCACTTATAAAAACTTACAGGCATTTCCTATAAAATTGTAATTGTCCTGTTTGTTTTAGAAAATACATGTTTTAATTAAGACAGGAAAAAAGAAATGTATTAATTATGAATTTCTGGATTCTGAGCAGAGAAACACAAATGTTGTATTTAATGGACAACGCTTTTACTATCAGGGTTATAAACTTAAACAATAAGTATTTAAAACATATTTTTGGATATACAAAAAGCAAGTAGAAACATTCACATTTTTATCCAACAATGTTAACATTTATGCAGCATATACAGTGTTCTCTCTCACACACACATAAAACCAATTGTGACTAGACGTCTTGGAGAGAAATCTCTTTTGCCTTTTTCATTTTTATGACAAGATATGTATTCCACATTGGTTAGTGTATTTACAATGGAGAAAAACTTCCTATCTTTCCATACAAGCACTAGTCTAAAAGTCTTTCATAAGGCAAGAGCTATTTATTAGAAAAAACTCTAAATACAAGATACTCACTCACTTTCTTCCAAATAAGACTGTTCTTTCCATTACATTCATAAAAATATATCAATAGAGACAATAATACTTCTTGATGTGGAGACTAGATTTCCATCAAGCTATATTAAATCATAATTGTAACAAGGAAAAAGATTTGTGACTGAGACCTATCTTTTATGTTAAAAATGAAACAAATAGAATATCAAAAAACTTTGAACTGTATGCCTTCCATTTCAGGAAGTGTCCTTTTAATTAGTCCACATAGTTGTGATAAACTGACCAACAGCCTTAACAAATCTTAACATTGTAAATTGTGTAGTACTACAGGTAGACCATTTGTTTAATGATTGTTCAAGTTACAGTGCTGAAAAGACTAACTTATGACCGGTCATGTGATTATAATTTGGGTACCTGGCACCTGGTATGTATTTATGATGGATGCAGTGTCACAAGATCATATGGTAACCACTTGTGTCCTTCCCAGGAGGCTTCCAACTTAACTACTGTGGTGACTTAACAGGATCCAAAAACGTTGTAAAATCGGACACAACTTAAATGACCACATAGATTAGTGATGAAAGTTCCAATACTAATTGTGGTCATAAGTTGAGGACTATGTGTATTGATTCCAAGTCTGATAAAGATTCTACAATTCTTGAATTTGTAGAACTTCAAAACTTTGATTTTTAAATGATGTTCTTCTATGTACATTTATTTGGAGGAAGCTATTCAGAAAAACCAAATCCCTTTATCAACATGCACAAGTATCAAACTGAAAATACATTTAAATGTTATATTGGAATGCTGAGTGTGGATACTTGAAATGATGAGTTTCAAAGCCTTTAAATAAAAGCTGAATATAGGGAACTAGAATGTAGAACAAACTAAATAAGAGAACATAAACCTATAATTTTTTATTTGTTGAGGGTCAATATCTTCTTTTGGTATAAGTGTAACATATGCCTCTGTCCATGAGTCAGGTACTTTACTTTTTGTCAAGACCTCATTCAGTACTTCAAGCATTGTAGTAGAGATTGATTCCTGTATTGTCTTATAAAATTCAGCAGGTAGCCCATCCGGGCCGGGAGCTTTTCCAGTGTTTTGTCTCCTTATTGCTTCTGTCAACTCCATCATTGTTATTTTCTCATCTAACATAGTCTTTAATTCATCAGGTATTTTCGGTAATTCTACACTTCTAAGTATTGCTGAACTTTCCTTTCTGGTATTGTCTCTCGATCATATAATTTCTCATATCTCTGCACTATTTTTTTCTTCTCTTCATTTCCATAACATAGTGTGCCATTTTCATCTGTTAGTTGTGGTATTCTTTTTAGTTCTTTTTCTCTTTTCAATTTATATGCTAGCCATCTACCTGACTTGTTTGCATTTTCAAAAACGTTCTGTTTAGCTCCCTTAATATTTTGCACCAGTTCTTCTTTTACCATTAATCCTATTTTATGTTTAATTATATCCATTTGCTTTTAATATTTTTGTGTTGTGGGTATCATTGTAGCTCCTTCTCCAATCTTATAGTCTTCTTCTAGAGTCTGTTGTATTTGTCTCTTTTTAGTGTTCCTTCTTCTTGTATAGGTTATAATCACACCTCTAGTATATGCCTTCACAGTGTCCCATACATTTTGTAATGAGGTTGCCTCTGGTTTATTTTCTTTAAAGAAGAAAGCCAATTCTTTTTCTATATTATTAATAAATTCTTTTTCTTTCAAGATTGAATTATTCAAAGTCCATCTTGGTCTTTTCCTCTGGTGCTTCCATTTAATCCTTATTGGGCTGTGATCAGCCCAAGTGCTTATGCCAATATTTACTTCCTGTATATTAGAAATTAAGTCTGTTGACATCCAAATCATATCTATTCTTGACCATGATAGGTTTCTGTTTGAATAAAATGTAACAGTCCTTTACAAGTGGTATGTATGACTGCATCCCGAGGTTCGGCCATTGCAGCATCCTCACAGCACATAATCATGAACTGGATGTTTGGCAACTGGCTCACACTAATAATGGTTACAGTGTCCCGTAGTCATGGAATTGCCATTTGCAACCTTTCCTGTGAATTTCCCACAAGTCAAGTCATTGGAGAAGCTGGCAGGAAAAGCCATAAGTCACTTCTGCTTTTTCCCTAAGGAATTGGGCTATGGTGTATAAGATATTGTACTCTGTAATGCGTGTACCCACCCCCAGTATCCCCCTGCTTTCAATAGCAAATGCCTACCTCTCCTTGGCTCGTCAGCACTTTCCACTGCCTGCCCTTATATGATGCCACAACATCTACCTTGCCTGCCTCCATAGCTCTTACCTACCTACAAGCCTGTTTACAAGCCTCCTAGGATTGTGACTTCCTGCCAACTTTCCCACTGATTTTGCTTGCTGGAAGCTGGTAGGAAGTTGCAAATTGTAGTCATGTGAGGTATTCACTTCATGACAGTAATGGAGACTGCTGGAATTGCTGTTGCTAAGCCATGCAGTTATGTGACATCACACTTTATGACCACATCACTCAGTGATAGGAATTCTAGTTTCAAACATAACCTGAGAACTACCTGTAGACATTCTTTGCCATTTTGAAGTAAAGTTTCTTCCTTAATGGCAGACATAAAACTAATATACCACAAAAATAATAAAACATGCAGATACTATCAAATCAGTATAGTCAAGAAAAACACAGAGGCAGAGACATACTGGCATATTTCCTTTCTCACCTTTGTGCAGTCTGGTAATTTGAAGTGGCTCAAACAGTTGGTAATTTTTTTAGTGCCTTTGAGTCCGTAACTGGTAACTGCCTGGTCTGGTCTTTGAAATTGGCTTGCCTTTAATTGCTTCCCTAGGTCTCAGAAAATGTCTGGCCCAAAGTCATCCAGCAGCCTAATGCCTTAACCACTGCACCAGATTGGTTCTTAGTTGGTTAATACCGGTAGCACTGGACAAACAAAGCACCTCTTTGAAGCTACAGCTGGCTATTTCTGCATTATGTGCTTGTATGGCTACTTCATTTAGTGGCTATCATGTACATGCATGCAGAGATTGTTGGGGAACGCCTTTTGAAGCACAAATCAAGCTTGTAAAGAACAAGACTGTTTAAGAATTTGAAAAGAAACACTTGGCACATGTTCCCATGTATTGTAAAGCATTATATTTTAAGGCAGTGTAGTAAGGCTATATTTAATGTATGTATTCAGTTTAAAAAAGATGTTTCAGGCATGTGGGGCCACAAAAAGAGTTTACTGGAATCCAAAAAAGCAGTTTCCTATGTGCTCAGAGAATTCCCCCACCCAAACTATTTCAAAAGAGCCCTAATTTGAATATCCCAATTGAGTAATTTAATTATGTGGGAAGTACTCAGAGAAAAGAAGCTTTCATATATCTAGGACACATTTAAAAGATCATTTAGAGGGCAGAGCAAAGGCAGGAAATATTTAACTTAAGAAAAAAAACCTGGAACTAACAGTACCAATTTAACATAAATTACAAACCCATAGTTCCAACTGATTTCAATCACATTTTGACCAAGAGTGTTAAGAAATAAGTTTTGCTTTTTATAGCTGGATATGTGGAATATGATACATGATTGTTTTATTCAAAACAAGATCTAACAGTGCAGATAACATGCACAAGTCTAGTCATTTTAGAACTATCTTAAGGATTGCTTACTTTAGATATCGTGTAATAGCTCTGCTTTTGACACAAACTATGCACTAAAATTACCAACCAAATTTGTGGTCAAGTACACCGAAAGTGCCTGTATTTGATAGGTGCGAACAACCAAACCCTCATGTGTAGATTTCAAACTACTTTATTGTTCTCTGCCTATAGCACAGGAATCTCCACAGACAGGCAGCTTTAGTCTGGGACAGATTAGATAAGGTTCAAAAGTATGTGTGTGTGGGGGGGGGGGGGGGGGGGGGGGAGGGAGAGATCTTGCCCTCTTGTCCTTAGAGGCAAGTCCATGCTAATTTTCCACTTGAGCCCCCTTCCTCCTGGTTACTCTCCAACATTAATTGATTTTGAAGCTTTATAAAAGATAGATACTATACATGTTTTTAACGTTAATATTGTTAACACCATATTATTTTCTTACATCATTTCAGAAGCTGAGAAACTCAAAAGTTAAAAAGATATAATATAAAATGAACTAAGTTAAATCGTAGAAGCAACCAGCACTTAATTATAAAGATAATTGGTCTAATTACAGAATTAGGTTAATAAATATAGGTCAAGGAATCTTGACCTTATTGGAGTACTGTGCTATATAACTGAAACATTCCTGTACAAATTTTCTCAAACATGTTAGGATTTCATATCCTTTATTCCAGGAAGGTTACTTTTAATTAGTCTGCTAAAAGAAAAAAAAGAGAATAGGCCCTATAATAACTTAAAATGAATTTTAGGTATATACTTTCAAAGATGCTTTTTGTTTCAGTTTTACTTTATAAAGCTTCAATGATTACATAAAAGATGCAGTTTTATTCATAGTAAATAGAAATATTATATATATTTGTATAACACCTTGAGTTCTAAAGGGCAAAAAGGAATACAAAGTACCCTTCATTGTAGTAAACATCTATTTCTATAGGAAGTGTGAAATGAAGAATGTACTTGGGGAATAATTTCACTTCCATATTTATATTAATTTTATTTAAATAATATATATATTTATATTAATTTGTAGTACTTCTAAAATCAATAATTTAATAATGTCCTTGAAACATCTGCTTAGAGGTGGAAATTGCATCACAAAATTTTATTATGTAGAATTTTGAAACTACAAATGCTGGGTGTTTAGTGTTCTCTTATTCTCTTTAATAAGAAATTATACAATTACAATTATAGCCTCAAAGAAAATAAAATTGCTAGGATATTAAATAATTAGACTAGAAAAGTCTAGTTGGAGCAAATAGTAACCTAGAAATTAAATCTCTTTTAATTTGGGGGTACTGTGTTTATTTGCAAAATTTCATGTTTTCTTCAGTTTGGTAAATGACTTTATTCCCATTATTTTGAGTAAAATGACATCATGCACTTTCATATGCCAGCTCTTGAGCCACTTGCTCTTGAATCTCATACAAACTGAGGATTATCATATGGGAATGAATATCATTGCTGTGGAGATGTTCTATCTAACATAGTCTAATTTTTTTACTTTACACATTGTATACCTCTGCTAATAACAGAAATTTAACAGAAATAATATATTTAAGACTTATTTAGGAGTTTTCTCTGAAATATTCTGTTTTCTAAAGTTTAGGATCAAATAAAAACAGACAGAATGAATTTACCACTGTTTTTGCTAACTGTAATAACAATCTCAAATTATGGTGACACTCATGCACTTTATTACTCCATGACTGGCTTACTGCATTCCACTGTATGTGGGTCTGCCCTTGAAAACCACCAGAATGTAACAGTTGGTGCAAAATATAGCAGTCTGAAGCTAGTGTGTGTGAGTTGCTTCAGTGGTATTACACCTCTAGAAGAACAGCTCAGGGATCAACTGCTGGGTCCTTGATGCTTTTTGAGCTTAGCTGCTTTCTTGCAGCTGCTTTCTTGCAAACATTTCATTTCCATGCTAGGTAACAGTGCAAGCAGGAGTGGAGTTTGCTGGCTGTTCATATATTGGAGCTTGTCCTACCAACCTTGCCATCTCCCCAGGATTTCTTAGTGGTTTCCCATTTAGATATTAATCAAGCTGAAATCTGTTTAAAGATTTTGTAGATTAGCCAAGCGCAGAGGGATGCTGCCACCTGCTTAGTGTGAGAACATTCAGAACTTTTAGTTATCTCTGTCATTTTTTCAAGTCATTCTTGTGAGATGTACATCTAATTATATCAGAATTTTTACATTTATTATTCAAATATTCATACTGTTATTAGCAAAATGCTCCAAGTAAAGGTCCAGATGTTTTTTTTTTAATGATTCAGTACCAAATCATAAGCACAAATACCTGAATGATGTGGCATGTCAGTTTATGCTGATTAAGTGTAATGCTAAGCATTTCTTCTCTGTGTGAGTATGTGTTTTATTATTCTCTTTAAATTTTATGGAAATGAAAACTCCCTGCTTTTAAAATGTCAACATTTCAATGAAATTATAATAGGCAAGTGTGGAATTCTTTCACTTTAGTTGTGATATGACTATTATACATCATTTCTTCAACAGCCAACTTAACTTCTTACGTGCCTGTCTCAACATCAGAGGCCTCCAGACTGGGTAGGATAGGCTGCAAAGGATACTGAGCAATGATACAGTGATAGATTTGAGCCAAAGACAGCAACATCAAAAACAGAAGAGTAAAATATTTTCAAATATAGAAAACCTAAAGACCGTAAACATGAGACTGAGAAGGAAAAAAAAAGCAGTTAAATGTCAACGCAGACTTGCTTTATAATGGTGTTTATAATTTATTATATAACTTATGATGTCGTACATCTTCCTGATTTCTTAAAAAAAATCTTAATGCAGTCTGGGAAACAGCTCACAAGTAGGAAATAATCCTACTCTTAAGAACACAATAAGTGTTTATCTAACTATGTCAAAATGATCCTTTTGTGCATGTTTTTCTTCATCCCCAAACTTAGCAAGAGGGCACTTCCACTACCCTTGGAGGAAGTGCAAGATTTTCATGTTCTCCAGGAGGAAGCCTTTTCCCAACTTAACCAGCCAAAAGGCAACCCTGCCACAATTATGGTGGGGGAAAACAACAACGCTAGATCTCTTTTCTTCCAGAATGGTGGTGGGGAAACACCTCACCTCGGAGCTCCAACACTGCAGCTCTGTCAGAAAGAGGGGGAGGAGGGGGAACGGGACTCCTGCCTGCCGGCGGGGATTACTGGGTCTTGAGTGCCTCGTGCAAGTAGGTGTGTAGTTCCTCACATACACACAAGCCCCATTTCCCTCATGTCTGCCACTGACAGCAGGAGAAGGCCGAGAGCGCGTACCAGGGCGGAACAAAGGCCTCTCGATCCGGATTCCCCAAACTGAATCACCCGACCTGGTTTTTTTCAACAGGAAACCGGGGCTCGGTGTGACACACCGCCCGGCGAAGCGTGACACGCGTCCCCGGCAAGTGGCCGTTTCTCACGACAGCTCCCTGGCGCTCACCTGCTGCTGCTGCTGCTGCTGCTGCTGCGGCTTGTCCTCGTCCCCCGCCAGAGGCAGCGAGGACTGGGGTGACTGGGGTTGCTGCTGCTGCTGCTGCTGCTGCTGCTGCTGCCGCCGCCGCTTGTGGCGGGACGCGCTCCCTCTGCCCCTTAAGGGCGGCAACGGCGGCGCCGATTCCCGTTCCCACTCGCTTTCCAAGAGGTACTCGGGCGGCAGCAGCAGTTCCTCGGTCGAGCCCATGGTCGTCGCCGGCGCCCGTCCCGGCGCCTACGAAAGCGGAGGGCCCGCAGTACGGGGCACACACCCCGCGCGGTCGCTCAGGTCGTCCCGTCGGCTGGCGGGCGAAGGCAACGCGCGGCCGCCCCTCAGCCTGCCCTCAAAACGGCAGCTCCGGCCTGGCAGGGCGCGCCTCAAAGGCTGTCACGGGTTTGACGGGGGGAGGAGGAGGAAGGCAGGAAGGAAGAAAGGAGGGGCGGGCAACGGATGTGTGTCTGTGTGTGTGTGTGTGAGGGAAAGAGCGGCGTGGGGGCTGCGGCGCGGCACAGGGGGCTTTGTGGTGGGGAAACGAGGGGAGGATACGGAGCGCGTTTGAACCGCCGTTTCTCGTTGCACCTTTAAAACTGCCTTTATTAAATCCCCGCCCCCGGGTGGGCGGGGCCATGTCCTCCCGCCCGCTCTTTTCTTGGTGAGAAGAAAAAGCAGGTGGAAATGTTGTCTGTGAAGATGTCAAGCTGTGGCCTTCGGCCTAGATTAGACTTTATCTTTCGCTCTCATGGCTCCGTTTTCTACAGGCTAAACCGGGGAGGGGGTGCAGACCAGGGCTGGATTTGCAGAGTTAAGTGGAGAGGAGTCCTTTCTGCTTCTCTACACCGAAGGCAAGCCGCGGAAGGCAGGCTTTGTTGTACCCATGCCTAGGTGACAGCAATCCAGATGCTGACTATCCCCAACGTATTAGCTTGCACCAATTAGACCCAGGTTGGGATCAGCTTCTAGGCAGCCTCGGCTGATGTCTCGAAGCTACGCTGGCTTGGATCCAGATATCTCAGGACTCGGGAGTTAAGAAGAAAATACACAGAAGAAGAAAGTAATATCAAATCATTTCCATATCGTTTTCTGTGGAATCAACTCGAAAGGTTTTTATTTAACCAAATACTGCGGAAGGTTGCAGACTCTTCAGGACCAGGAGAGCCACCCAAGGCGGCAGAAATAAAACAGCAGAAAATATATCTGAGCACATCATCAGCTGATAAATATTTTACTAGAACTTGGACTGGCCTACAAATGGCTTTTCTCCTTTTTGCTGACCTACCAATAAATCTATGGGAATGTCTGCTGTTGCTTTTAGAACAGGAATTGAAACACTGATCTATTAGATTTATTTTGTTGGTGGTTTGTTTTTATTAAAACCATTATATCTTTGAGCCAGGTACAAAAAAGATAATAGCCAGAAATAAAGAGTTTGATGTATCCAGGTGTCATTTCTTCTCATCAATTTTGTGGAGGTTAAGTTGAAATGAAACCTCACACATATTTTAATTGAGCGAAGATAATCAACTGTGCATTTACCCTGTAATGTATCATTTTAATTTGCTTTGAATAAAAAAAGAAAAGGGCCCTTAATTCACATGCCCACCCAAACAAACATCCATTGCTGAAAATCTTTTATCTGCTAAACCAGTTGGTTACATTAATGCAGAGGATTATTTTAATACAATAAATCATTGATTAAATGAATCTTAGCTTAAGAGCACTGGTGGGATTCAGCCAGTTCGCATCACTTCGGAAGAACTGGTTGTTAACTTTCTGAGCAGTTTGGTGAACTGGTTGTTGGAAGAAAACATTAGGGCAGATAACAGGTTGTTAAGTTATTTGAATCCCACCACTGCTTAAGGGGCTTCTGATTTGATAAAATCTACTGGATATGAACTTTGTCTTAGTTGCAGGCAGTAACAGTTCCTTCCAAACAATGGACCATTTGAATAATCCTTGCTGCTTCCCCTCAAATGGGTGTTCTCTGCTGTTGGTAATACTATATGGAATTCTTATATTGGGAGCCACTTTGGTATAATGGTTAAAACACCAGATTGAAAATCTGGAGATTGAATTCTAGCCAGTTGGGTGATTTTGGTTTAGCCAGTTGGGTGATTTTGGGCTGTTCATCATATCACTAAGAAGAAAACAATAACAAGGCACTTCCAAAAAACTGCAGGAATAAGTCAAGGCAGTTGTCAATAGTTAATGCTGACTTGAAGGCACTAATTCAAACACACAAATCTTACATTATATATAAGTTTGTTTTGAGGCTAAAAATATTCCAGTTTTCATTTAACAGACTAAGATGTCATTTATCCAGCTTTAAGGGACATCCTTCATTAATCTATTAAATCCAGGGTTTAGTGTGGAATTCATTTTAGCTCAGTTCTTTTGTTCCAAATTCACTTTCTTCATTTCAACAAGCTCAACCTTGCCGAGTTACTTAATTAAACCAGAAATCTCCCTGTAGACTTTGATCTACTTGTAGTATGAGTGAATTTTGCAGAAAACATACAAGAATCAGCTAATTTTCTTGGTTGTGTCATTAGAATTAAAGTTCATCTGGAAATCATTGAGAGAGGGAAATGACTAATTCTGGGATGATAAGGAGCAAGCTATTAACAACTCCAGCATTATCTGAATTGTCAGAAAATCTGCATGTGCTGGATGGGTATTGATGCTTGGATTTTTTTATTACTAATGTATAAAATGTTGTACGTTTACAACATACATTAGGATTCACTTACAGGCTCTATTGTGATGAATCAGGCTGGAGTAGATCCCTTTGCAAGATAATCCAGGGACTTTCCTTGTGTGTTGACATCATGGATAAAAATTATTTCCATGCATTTTAAACTCTCTCCATTTAGTGTATATTCTATACAATTAATAACTTTTTCCCGTTGAGTGTTACACTGGGTAGAGGTTCCTTTTCTCTGGTTTATAACTTTCTGGAAGCTTAGCAGGATTGCTGGTCAGCCAGTTAAGTAAGAACTTTATCATCTTCAGTATAATTAAAATCATAATAGATAGATTCTGATCCAGTGGTGATACAATTAGATTCTAGGCCATCTGGTGGCTAAATTACATATAGCTACAATATGTACACATAGTCATTTATTTTTATTAAAAATACAATTTTTATATTCAGTCCTCTCTAAATTTTAATAGCAATTAAATAAGGATAGAGGAAGGAATATTCAAAACAGTATAGTATTGCTATCAATCTGGCAGAATCTGAGTACATAAAATTCAAGTAAGACTAGTTCATTAATTATATCTTTAGCTAAATAATATTAAATCCACAGAGATCAGCTGCCAGTTGTTTCAAAAGTCTCTCACATCTGGAGGTGTTGAAAAAAATATTCCTTCTGTTCTTATTTTCTATTTCTTCAGCACCCACAAGATAAAAATGTGCTCTTTTTTTCCTTTGACAATTTACCTGTCTTGACTTATTCAAAGTTCATTTATAAATTATACCTTGGTATCCATGTAGTACAAGATGCCCTTTCTGATTGTATGATACAACAGTACACTATCTAGTATTATTCTTTTGCTCAGTTTTATTCATTCATTTCCAACTCACTGTGGTCATTGTACAACAGTTTGCCAGAACTGTCTATGTGCAACTATTTCTTGAAGTTTGTGCTTTTATGATAGAATCTTGCCACCTGTTAGTTTTTTGTTTTGGATTTTTCCAAGCATATTTTGTGAACATTGTCTCAAAAGATTTATTCTTTGTCATTATTTTTCTAAAGCGTTTAAATTTTAGCTTTGTTATTAGTGTTTCCAGTGAGTGCAGGTAGTTGTTGACTTACAATCTTTTATTTAGTGACCATTTGAAGTTACAACAGCACTGAAAAAAGTGACTTATGACCATTTTTCACTCTTACGACTGTTGTAGCATCCCCATGGTCACATGATCAAAATTCAGATGCTTATATTTATGTCCTGGGATCATGTGATCACCTTTTGCGACCTTCTGACAAAGCCAGATTCACTTCACAATCGTGTTACTGACTTAACAACTGCAGTGATTTACTTAACAACTGTGGAAAGGTTGTAAAATGGGGCAAAATTCACTTAACAACTGTCTTGCTTAGCAACATAAATTTTGGGCTCAATTGTTGTTGCAAGTTGAGGACTACCTTCATTTAATCTTGAATGACTGGTTTTATTTTCTGCCCAAGCAATTCTCAACCATTTCCTCTAGCATGAGTGTTCATTCCTTTTCCATTACTTCTTTAGTTATTTGCACTGGTTGGCATAATCAGTTGATGTAATCTTGTTTTTGTTTTTGTTTTAAGACAAACTGAGTGTCAGACTAGCTTTTGAACTTGGCTTTCACCTTGATTAAATTTTCCTCACTTTCTTCCATTGAAGTGACATCGTTAGCTTATCTGAGACCATTAATATTTCTCGGAGCAGTTTTAGTTCTCACGTCTGTTTCTTTCAGTTCAGCTTATATTATTCATATGCTAGATAGGGAAGCAGTGGACAAGCTTGGGACGCTGTTTTCCCAATTTTGAATCATTTAATCATATCATGTTCTAATGCAGAGTTTCTCAATCTTATCTACATATTTTAAGATGTGTGGATTTCAACTCCCAGAATTCCCGAGCCAGCATGCTGGCTGGAGAATCCCGAACATTGACATCCACAAATGTTAAATTTGCAAAGGTTGAGAAACATTGCTCTAATACAGGGGTGTCAAACTCAAGGCCGGTCTGGAAATATCAAGAGGTGGTGCCTCTGCTGGCCAAAACAGCCCCCCCACACTGCCGCGAGCATGTTTTCAGCTGGGAGAGTGCTGCAGGAGGCCATGGAGGCTGAAAACAGGCCATAAGGTTTCACACAGCCAGTTTTCGGCCGGTAGAGTGCTGCAGGAGGACTGGCTTGGACTGGATTACAATTATGGAACCTCAAGTAAGCTAACCCTGATCTGTATAGAAAAAAAGCAACATCCTATGTTAATACTACAGTTTAATGCCAGATTTTACATACTGTAGGTCCATTTAATCTACAATCAACAATCTATTCTGTATTCTGTATTCTATATTCTGTATTCTATTCTGTGACAGCATTTTTTTTTTTTTTTGCTATCCTGGAAATTTACCTCTGCTGTTAGATCTTGTATTATCCTGTTATTTATGCTGTTGTATTTTTATTATTAGTTGAATAATAAAAATATAATAGTATAAATAGCTTTTCTGCCTGGAAAAGCAATTTACTATTAAACAATGGGGTATAAATTTAGAAATAAAAAGTTTAATGGAATATGAAAAATAAGTAATAAATGTTTGCCAGTAATATCTGGTAGAAGAAATAGGAAAATGGTTATAGTAAAGAACTGTGGAAAGAAAGAAGGAAGAAAAATGCCTTTTGAGCCTGTGTTAAACACCCACCATGACCACGCCCAATTCTGGCCCCCACCAGCCTCAGCCCTCCAAAGTCAAACACCTCCCTGATGTGGCTCTCAATGAAATTGAGTTTGACACCCCTGCTCCAATGGATTAGTTCCTGCTCAGATTCTTCAATATGCAATA